CTATCGATATCAATAAAGTTCAAGTTTCTTCTTACTTACTTGAGTCAAATAATTTATGGCATGCACGTTTAGGTCACGTCAACTTCAAAACTATACGAAAAATGATTAACTTGGAAGTATTGCCTAAATTTGATTGCGATAATTTGAAATGTCAAATATGTGTGAAATCTAAGTATGTTAAACATCCTTATAAGTCGATTGAAAGGAATTCAAATCATTTAGACTTAATTCACACAGATATTTGGGACATGAAGTCAATACCATCTCGCGGTGGGAAAAGAATATTTCATAACTTTTATTGATGACAGTACTAGATATTGCTATATTTACTTACTTAATAGTAAAGATGAAGCAATTGAGGAATTCAAGCAATACAAAAATGAAGTTGAAATGTAACTAAACAAAAAGATCAAAATGATAAGAAGTCATAGGGGGTGGCGAGCATGAATCTCCTTTTGAAGAAATATGTTTGGAATATGGCATTATTCACCAAAAAATGCCCCTTACTCACCGCAATCTAATGGAATTGCGGAAAGAAAGAATAGAACGTTAAAGGAGATAATGAATACCTTGTTGATAAGTTCAGGTTTACCCCAGAACTTGTGGGGGAAGCTATTCTTACAGCTAACCAAATACTCAATCGAGTTCCCCATAGCAAAACACAAATCATTCCATATGAAAAATGGAAAGGTAGAAAACCGAACTTAAAATATTTTAAAGTGTGGGGGTGTTTGGCTAAAGTGCAAATTCCTAAATCCAAAAGGGTGAAGATTGGATCGAAAATGGTTGATTGCGTTTTCATAGGATAAGCAAGAAAAAGTTAGGCATATCGTTTTCTAGTTCATAAATCAGAAAATCCCGACATTTATATTAATACGGTAATCGAATCCGATAATGCTGAATTCTTTGAGTATATTCATTCGTATAAAGATGAATGCAAGTCGTCTAGTGAAAAATTTAAACAACCTCGAGAAGAAGCAAAGGAAAGTACGTTTAGTGAGGAAAATTCAAGACGTAGTAAACGTCAAAGGACAACTACTTCCTTTGGACCAGACTTTCTGGCATTTTTGTTGGAAAATAAGCCTCAAACGTTTAAAGAAGCAAAGTCTTCCTCGGAAGCAAAATATTGAAAAGAAGCAGTCAATAGTGAGATATAATCCATATTAAGTAATCATACTTGGGAATTGGTTTATCTTCCTCCAGGAAATAAACCTTTGGGTTCTAAATGGATTTTCAAAAGGAAAATGAAAGTTGATGGTACTATTGACAAATATAAGGCAAGATTAGTTGTCAAAGGGTTTAGACAACGAGAGGGTATTGATTATTTTGATACATACTCACCGGTAACGAGGATTACAACACACCGATTGTTAATAGCGTTAGCCACCGTGTATGGTATTGAAATCCATCAGATGGATGTAAAGACGACTTTCTTAAATGGAGATTTGGAGGAAGGGATTTATATGGAATAGCCTGAAGGGTTTGTGGTTCCCGGAAAAGAAAAAAGTGTGACGACTTGTTAAATCACTTTACAGATTGAAACAAGCACCCAAACAATGGCATGCGAAATTTGACCAAACAATGTTGGTAAATAGATTAAAGATTAATGAGTGTGATAAATGTGTTTACATTAAAAACACTCCAAATTATATAGTCATTGTATGTTTATATGTTGATGATATGTTAATAATGAGCAAAGATATTGCGGATATAAATGCTACTAAGCGTATATTTGCTAGCAAGCTTGATATGAAAGACTTAGGAGTTGCTGATTTAATTCTAGGAATTAAAATTCATAGACTCCTCAAGGACTGGCATTGTCTCAATCTCATTACGTTAAAATAGTACTTGAAAAATTCAAGTATTTAGATTTCAAAGTCGCAAAGACTCCGATTTATATAAATGTGGCTCTTACAAAGAATCTAGGTCAAAGCAAATCTCAATTGGATTATGCTCAAGTATTGGGAAGTTTAATGTATATCATGAATTGTACATGACCTGATATAGCTTGTGCAGTAAGTAAATTGAGTCGTTACACAAGTAATCCCGACCAAACTCATTGGATGGCAATGAAACGAGTTTTGGAGTATCTAAAACATACCCAAGATTATGCTTTGCACTATAATAAGTATCCTGCGGTAATTGGAGGATATAGTGATGCAAATTGAATCACAGGCTCAGTAGAAACAAAGTCCACAAGTGGATACGTGTTTACTATTGGTGGAGGAGAAGTGTCTTGGAAATCAACTAAACAAACATGCATCGCTCGCTCTACAATGGAGTTTGAGTTTATAGCCTTAGATAAGGCTGGAGAAGAAGCTGAATGGCTCCGAAATTTCTTGAAATATATTTTATTTTGGCCCAAACCAGTGACTCCTATATGCATATATTTTGATAGTCAAGTGGCAATAGGAAGGATTGGAAGCAATATGTATGACGGAAAATCTCGTCACATACGACGAAGACATAATACCGTTAGACAACTACTCTCTAGTGGAATTATCACAATTGACTACGTAAAGTCAAAAGATAATGTGTCGGATTTGCTTACAAAAAGCCTAAATAGAGAGGCGGTTGATAAATCATCAAAGGGAATGGGACTATGGCCAAGGACAAGTCACTGTGACGGTAACTCTACCTAGAAGACTAGAGATCCCAAGATCTAGGTTCAAGGAGATCAAGCAAAGTCATTAGTGACAGTTCAACATTGTCAAATAAAATTTTGTTCTATTCTTGTGATGAGACAATGTTCAGTACCAATGATAAAGCGTTAATGCTTTTTAATGGTTTCTAAGTTTGATACGGAGTATATCAAATAGTGTATATATTGGATAACATGTTTAGGAATAACCTTTATAAATGTGAAGTGTAAGCCGCTTCAAGGAGAATTCTTTAAGGCCAGTTCTCTACGCACTTATGAACCAGGCGGTGTTCATGGCTGAAACGAACAAAACAACGAGAATCAAAGGCAGTTAAAGGATTGATTGTGTGACTTATGGTTGTTTAGGTATACACTAATGTTCAAAAATATCAAATCTACCGATTGACCGAGTATATCCGACATAAGTTCACTGTGAAAAGTTCAAAGGAAAACCTACTTATCCAGATGCGATTAATCTTTGCTTGTAAATCACACAGTTTTTCATACATGCATATTTTCAGATAGCCATTCCCCATTCATATGGGGGATTGTTGGATTTTTATCTAATTAGATAGTAGGTGTGAATGGGAAATAGAGAAAAATAATTTGGAGGGAAACGAAAAGTTTGAAGTTGTTTCCTTTACTAATGCACTTTGTCCCTCATTGGAAAATAGAAAGAAAATCTTTGTACTTATACAGAGAAGCACATCTTCTAGCTCTTAAAGAGTTAAGAAGAAGTGGTGCCTCGCGTCGTCGTCGTCGCTCGCTCGCTCGGCTTCGGCTTACCCCTACCTAATTTCTTTTCTAATATTTTTTCGCGGAAATTTAATTTAAAATCCGTGGTTCCCATTCCCAATGGTCATTTTGAGTTTAAAATTCGCGACCAGACTTCTGCCGAAATGATACCTCATATAAACAGGTACCTTCACACCTATTCAACCCAGACTGTTTGGCTATAAATTCAGAGATTTTGCCTCATTTTTCAGCACCGAAATCTACATATTCTCCCCTCTCTTTTGCATTTCTGCATTGTTTTCCAACAAGCAAAATGTAAGCATCAGTGTGGTTTACTGCCGTTTGTTGAGTTTGACGAAGTTCGGTAATTTTCATTATCGATATCACCGAATAGTTGTTTCGTTCTATCCTGAGAGGAATTAATCCAACAACCTTGGACAACAGTGAGGGGATTAAATTCCTTAAGAAAATACAGTTTCTGTTGGGCTTGAAACTTTATTTATTCTGCAACTGCTTCTGTTTTTTTTTTTTTTTTTTTGAAAAATT